ACAAATCTTTATTCATTATCAGAATATCAGAGGTCTCACTTCAAAGCTTAAAAATCTTTTCATTGCCAGCACTTCCTTCGATTCGGACATAATAGCATTTTCAGAAACATGGTTAAACTCAACCATATCTGATTTTGAGATATTACCGAATAACTTTATTTTGTTTAGAAATGATCGGCCGACTCGAGGTGGTGGGGTGTTAATTGCCGTTAAAGCCACTCTCCAGTCAGAACTATTCTGTTTTAGTACGCCTACTGATGCTGAGATTGTCTCAGTTAAGGTGTCTTTTCCTACACGGAATATCTATGTAACATGCTCTTATGTCCCACCTTCTTCTGATATTCAAGTTTATATGAATCATATTAATTGTATTAAAGAAGTTTCTTCACACGTGCGGGATAATGACCTATTAATGGTGTTGGGTGATTTTAATTTTCCGAACATCTCTTGGTCATTATTCACTGCTGAAAATTATCTAGTGCCCTCAGCACAGCACGATTTTTTAGACTGAATGCTTGATCTTTCGTTGTTTCAAATCGATTCAATTTCTAATCATATGAATAGAACACTTGACCTTGTATTTGTTAACGACTACCTTATTTCTAATGTGTCTAGGTCCCCTCCTTTATCTCTTCCTGAGGATGTCTATTATCCTACTTTAGAGATTGCAATGCTAACTTGTAATCCTTTCATTTCGTGCTCATCAGCCAATAAGCCCCGCTATTGCTTTCGCAAAGGAAATTATTCTTTGCTGAATCAGCTTATTTATTTAACCGATTGGTCTTTCTTATATGACTCGGTTGATATGAATACTGCCATTAGTTTTTTTATATTCCTAAGTATTAAGTACTAAGTGTATTCCTAAGTAAATACCTTCGACTACTTTTTCAAAACCACCCTGGTTTACTCCCAGATTATCACATCTAAAAAATGTAAAATCCAAATATTTTAAAAAGTTTAAAAAGTCTGGTTCGTGTACAGACTTGGCTAAATATTCCATAGCCAAGTCGAAATTCTTTCTTCTTAATTCTCAATGCTATGAGAATTATCTAATTCGTTGTAAAAGGCAATTCGCCCGAAATCCGAGACAGTTTTATAATTTTGTAAACTTGAAGCGCAAATCTTCAAGTTTGCCATCTTCTTTTTTTCTTGGGATGGATAAAGCTAGCAATGACACTGATTCTGCTAACCTCTTTGCTAAATTTAGTTACAAGTTACTCTTCAGTCTGTCCTAATACTAATTCTTACCCTTATACTATTTCTTCTCTAGTTCTATACCTCCCCCCATTATTTCACACTCCTCTCTCCTATTAGCTATAAACTCCTTAAAATCTTACTCTCCTGGGCCGGACAATATTCCTAGTTGTCTACTCAAGGAGTATAGCTCTTCCCTTTTTTCTCCATTGCTAAAGCTTTTTAATCTATCCCTTGAAACTTCTGTCTTTCCATTTCTTTGGAAAGAATCTTATATCATTCCTCTTCACAAGAAAGGTGGGATTTTTCTTGGTAAATGATGCTTTCCTTTCGAAAATGCAAACTGATGTCATTTACACTGACTTCAGTAAGGCGTTTGACTCTGTGTACCATGACATTTTACTTTTTAAACTTGACCGAATAGGTTTCCCTCTGTCCCTTTTACTTTGGATTAATTCTTATTTAAAAGGTACGACCCAAAGAGTAATACTGAGGTTGACTACCTCTAAAAGGGTTCACGTTACTTCTGGTGTTCCTCAAGGTAGTCATCTTGGACCTTTACTCTTTACACTTTTTATAAATGATCTTCCCTCTGTTATATCACATGCCCGTGTACTCATGTATGCGGACGATGTCAAACTTTTTGTATCATACACTAACCCCCTACATCATTCTCGTCTATAAGACGATTTGAACGCTATGCAACTTTAGTGTTCGGCCAATCAATTGCATCTTAATTGTTCAAAGTGTATGTTTATGACTTTTAATCGTACTACACCTTATCTTGTCAGTTATACAATCGACAATATCCCTTTGCAACGTATACTAACAGTTAAGGATCTAGTCGTTATTTTTGATTCTAAACTCTGTTTCAATCTTCATATAGATACCATTGTTAATGAGGCAAAAGGTGTACTTGGATTCATTAAACGATGGTCTAAAGAGTTTAACGATCCTTTTATAACAAAACTTCTGTACATATCTCTTGTTCGCCCTATCCTTGAATACTGCTCTTGCATCTGGTCTCCACAGTATATCAACAGCCAGGATCGTATTGAATCTGTTCAGAAGCAATTTCTGCTTTTTGCCTCACGAAGTTTAAATTGGGACCCTAATCTTCGGTTGCCGTCCTACTCCAGCAGACTGCTTCTTCTCAACCTTCCGTCGTTAATCAACCGTAGGACAATCCTCGGTGTTGTCCTTCTACATAAGTTGATTATTGGCGACATAGATTTTCCTTTTCTGCTAGGGCGTCTTCAATTCTCTGTTCCGGCAAGACCAACTAGAAATTATCGCCCATTATTACTATCTACGTGCACAACAGATTACGCTATGCACAATTCTTTTCGCGTGCTATGCAAAAATTATAATAGTTGGCATCACGTTTTCTCTACCGAACTGTCTCTACCGTTGTCGTTGCTTTCAGGATACCTTCGGGAAGTCGCTGACCATTCCCAGCTATGAGCAGGGGCATAGCTAGCCGGACAGGCTGAAAAATTTTCCCCCACCGGGTCGGTGATTTCCCATTACTTTTCTCTTTGTCCTATCTACTTAACACTCTTTATCTAACTTACATTGCTTTACTTTATTAACAATTTTCTTACTTTCTTTTTTCCTATTTATTGTATTTTCTTTATTAATATAGCAAATTAAGATTATTTTTAATTTCACTTGAGATCACTTTTTTCCTACTTACAACCTTCTGCTTAGATGTAGGCTCTAATAGCGTCACTGACAAAATTAGCTGGCCGGACTGGCAAATAAAACACCTCCATCGGTCGGTGATGCTATTTAGAAAATTGTATCCTTTAACTAGGCTTTTAGCATATAATTCTATTGTACAATCTTTTGAATGATGAGGAAGACACTCGTTTTGTCGACCATTAATAAATAAATAAATAAATAAATATATCCATTAAGTATTTTTATTTTAATAAATATACGGTAATATGTAACGAAAAGGCGATTAAGAGCGGTAACAGCGATATTAATATAACAGTATTATAAACTAACATATTATTATAAACAACATATAACATTGGACTTATCCTTATGTAAAAACATTGCAAAATCTAAATGTATTTGATATTTATTTATTTTAATTTTATTTATTTATTATGTATTAATGGTCGAGAATACGAGTTTCTTACTAATTATTCAATACATTATACTTATATTATGAAAATTTAATGCTAAAGGCCTAGTTAGACTACACAGGAGGTGTTTTATTTGCCAGTCCGACCAGCTGTTCCCCTTTTCACAGCTAATTTGGTCAGTGACGCTATTAGAGCCGGGAGCTAAGAATAAGGGTGTAAGTAGAGAAAATAGTGTTCTTAAGTAAAATTAAAAACCATAAAGAGGGGCTATCTTCGGCACGCCGAAGATTTAGTACCCTTGCAGACCCAATCTACCCGCATCTAAGAAGCACAGGGAAAATATTTAATGGTCAAGAATCTTGATAAACAAAAAAGGTTTTTAATCAAAAACGTTTTTTTTTTCGACCAATCGGTCCTATGGCAGATATATGATATAGTATTCCGATATAAAAAGATTTTGCAAAAATGAAGGCAACATAGTTAAATCTTTAAATACCGTGATTAATCTAAATTTTGAATGTAAAAAAATTTTCCATACAACAACTTAATTTTCGACCAATCGTTCCTATGGCTGCTATATGATATATTGGTCCGATATTGAGAGGATTTTGCATTTGCAAATGCCGAGTTTGATCAAGATAAACAGAATGTGTTTTCATACAACTTAATTTTCGGCCGATCATCCCTATGGCAGCTATATGATAAAGTGGTCCGATCTTAATAGGATTTGCAGTAGTGTAGTAAAACTAATAAAAGCCGAGTTTGGTCAAGATATCTTGAAAAACAAAATGTTTTTTCATACAACTAAATTTTTGACCGATCGTTCCTATGGCACCTATATGATATAGTGGTCCGATTTAGCTGGTTTTGACATATGTGCTGCATGCAAACAGAAAGAGGAAAAGAGGAAGGACTTCAGCTAAGTTTTATAAAGATAGCTTTAAATTGGGGCACTAGTTCGCATAGAAACAGACAGACGGACATGGCTTTATCGACTCGGCTATTGATGCTGATAAAGAATATATATACTTTATGGGGTCGGAGATGTCTCCTTCTATGCGTTTCAAATTTCACGACAAAATTATAATACCCTCTGCAAGGGTATAATAATCCTAATTTATTATCTTATTTAAGAAATACAATAAATAGGAAATGAGAAAGAAAGCAGTTATTAATAAAGTATAGTACTTTAAGCTCTTAGGTAGAATAGGATGAAGAGATAAGTAGTAATGGAAAATTACCGAGGGGAAAATTTATAGCCTGGCTGGCAAGCCATGCCCCTGCTCATTGCTGGGAATGGTCAGTGACTTCCCGAAGGTATCCTGAAAGGAACGATTTTATTAGTGGTAGAGAAAGTTCGGTAGAGAAAACGTGATGTAAAATATTATAATTTTAACATAACTCGCGAAAAGGATTGTTGGAAATCGTTGCGCCGTCATGCCTGGGGCTTGAATGTCCGCAGAAGACGCTAACGCGCTGACGCGAATATGCCACTTATGCTCGCATGGATAGAAACCCGCACTCCTAATGAGTAAACGGGCTTACTCTTTTATTGTATTGTATATATAAATATTCCTTTTTGTATATTTGTTGTTTTTATTTTGTGAGAATGTTAGAAACAAAGCATTTTAACACTAATTATGCTAACTTAAATATTTATTATTAATGATTTTGTTCTTTTTATATTAACTTCAATTGAATTTATTTAAGGGCCAAATCTGTATATGTTGGAGGACTGCTTTTCTACTGCTTTGGCATGACATTAATGGCGCTTTCTCGCGCTAAATTTAGTGTCATTCTTTTTAGTTGGACGGCAGGTGTCATGTACTCTACGCTTTTCACCATGCCTTACTTGCTAGTGGCGCATTACCATTCCAAAGGCACAGTAAGTAACAAAAAGACTTCTATATAAACTTAAAATATAAAATTTTTCTTTAATTCTTTTTATATTAATCATTAATGAATTGGATCAAGGATAGCTAACATTTTTATTACAACACAATTGGCTTAGTTGATGTTACGGAAAGCCTGTATGGGTTTTCCTATCAATAAATATTCCCGCTATGAAACGAGTCGATTTACAGTCTCTTGGTGTTAAAAGCTAGTAAATCTCTTTGTTCATTTAAATTTTTAAGAGAAAAATATGGTATTCTTCGCTTTAAAAATAAACTGAAACCGATGTCCTTTGCAATGTCCATGGACTTCAAATCTGCCGTTGACCGGTGAATTTGAAAGAGTGCGTGTGCTGTGTGCACATTTTTTTTAATATATCTCTCGGTGATGCCATAACTTTAAAACAAGCAAGAGGTTCGGAAGCTCCCGACTAGGAAATTTCCTGAGCCCTCTTACTCCAACACCAAATGCAGCTCGTCCAAGCGCTCGTTTGATGTGATAAAGATAAATTAAAAAACAAATTCCCTTGGAAATTCTAATTGGCAACTGACCGCATTATTTGCTGCAGGCTTTACTCTACAGCCACACCAGCGTTAGCTGCCACAAACACTTGGATATTAACGAAATTTTCTACATTATATCTTATTGTACCATTGAATATTTTTGTATTCTCAAAAAGCCAATTGCATTAAAATTGCGGCTTAAATTGGTGGGCAATGCTAGTTATTAACTTGATTTATAGCTCTACGGAGGTAGCGGGAAGTGGCGATAGGTAAAAAATTAAGGATACTTGGTATATATATACTATTCTAGAGTAATCTTATCACTTTTGGTGAGTCTAGCTCTTAATATTTACCGAATTTACCGACTGCCTGTAAACGGAGCAAGTTATCGATAATTGGAAACAAACCCACAGCTAATTTCAAGTCTCTAGCTCGTATAGGTTCTGATATCCTTGCGTTCATACGTGCGGACAGACAGACGGACGGACAGACAGACAGACGGACATGGCTAGATCGACTCGGCTGTTGCTGCTGATCAAGAATAAATATATACTTTATGTGGTCGAAGATGCTTCCTTCTGCCTTTTACACACATTTGCCTAAATACATTATACCTTTTTACTCATTTTCAACAGTTCGAAACTGTTGGTGCGGAAATGAGATAAATAAAATCGTTTCTCTTAATTGTCCCGAGTTAGAAACATTACAATACATTGTGAGGCGGCTACCCAGAATCGCCTCCCCACAAATAAGTTTCACGGTAAAGAACCGTTAGATATGTAGTTTTATAGTTTTGTAAGTTTTAAGTAGCAAAAGTATCAGTAGTAGGAAAGGCAAGGAGCCCTTAGATTTATAGTTTACTGTTTTGTCAGTTAGTATTATTAAGCATTTATTAAAAAAAAGAATAGAATAGAATATTTTTTATTCGCGCGCCCTTCTATTTTATGATTTTGATGAATGAATGTTGACCCCTTATTACCTGCAGCAGTCCATTGGGGCGAAAGCGTCAACTTTTGGCAAGCACCTGCACACGTATATATTTGAATATTTTAAAGATTTGTATTTTTGTACAAATTTCATGCATCAAAATCATACATAGGAGGGCGCGCGTCAGACGCGTGCCAATAATGATATTTTCTTTTGCGCCCATGATCAGCCCATTCACAGACATTTGTATGTGTGTGTCTGTGTGTAGAGGTCGAAAATCAGAAATCCCAACTTTTTGTTAAATTTGCATCGAGGACAGGCAGGCAGGCAAGCAACAGGCACACAAGCGCATAAATGCTTCTATTCATATACAAAATATGCAAGTATACGTGAATAGCGGGTCCAAAATATTTAAAAAGCACACATGGCACCGCTTGGGTACCGTTACCAACGATAGCGAGCCAAAATGCAAGAATTTCGCATCGACGTAGCAAACCCTTTCTGTATTTCATACTTCTCGTGCCTTCAAAAGGGTAGAAATGACTCGGCATTTGAGAAAAATTAAATTTGTGCACAGTTTTGCTTGTCGGACACATACACACACACGCATTTAAACGATCCCTAAACATAAAGAGAGAGCATAGAGAGCTGAGAGTAAGTGCGAGCAGGATAAAAATTAACAGCGTTGCCGTTCTATCGCACAAATCATATGGAAGAGAGTGCGCCAGTCCTACTCCCTTACTCACGATTTTGGGTTTCTGAGCCGATTCCGGGTGCCTATAAAGTTCGTGTGTGACAACGGGGTACAGTTTACAAGCTGCAGTTTCAAGGCTCTTCTCTTGTCCTTGGGTGTAGAGGTCCAATATACCGCCCCGTACTGTACACAAGAGAATCCTACCGAGAGGACAAACAGGCCCGTGAAGACCATGAAAGCGCAGTTTATCGAAGGCCATCAGAATTCGTGGGACGAGCTCTTGCCAGAGATATCGCTAGCGGTCAACACAAGTGTGGTGGACTCGACAGGATTCAGTCCCGTTCCCGATCAGGTGACTTCGGGGTCCGCTACTAGAGTGCCCCACCCTAGGACAAAGGCGGATAGGCTGAAAGAAATATTTTATATCGTCCACAGCAACCTCCAGCGAGCACCAAAGAACCAGGGCAGTCACTAGAACTTGCGGACAGGAGAGTGGCGACCCTTATTGGATTCTATGGTCTTGTAACGGCAACACCAACTGTCCAACGCGTCTGAAGGCTTCGCCGCCAAATTGGCACCTAAAATTTGACGGTGCCTTTCGTTTGTCGTATCCCTCAACATCGTGCGCCTGGCGAGACCAGGCGAATTTCGATTTTATCAGATAAGGATGTTAGTAGTCCGGATACCGAGCTTTTCCACGGCCCGACACCGCCGACGCGACCCTCGCCAAGGGCACGATTTCTATCGAAGGCGACAGCAGGAGGAATCGTCCCGCTACCTCCGCCGCACGATGTACTCCCGACGGACCAATTTAATGAAACGCTTGAACGGGATGGCCATGTTAATGGCCGTCGATGTGACGATTATGTTCGTCGGAGGAACCTTTATTCCGCCACCAGCTCGCCACCCACCGTTTGGAGGTAGACCCGAATGCCTGCAGAAGATCCCCGAGGAAGGTGGTGCATCCCGCTCTGGCCTTTTAAAGCGTGGAAAAGCGAACTCAGGAGAGAGGACAGCTGTATCGACCACCAAAAAGTCACGGCCGGAGACCGAGGCGCTCAAAGATCCGCAACTAAGTGTGCCGCGTTCGCCCCGCGAGCGCCGAGAGGGTCCTTCTCGGCCTTAGAAGGATAACCGTAGTTGCGGATTCAATTCCCCCCTCGTGCGAAGGGAAGGAGCCGTTTCTAACATTAGTATTATTAAACGTTTATTGAAATAAGGAATAAAATGGAATATTTTTTTATTTGAGCTTTGCTGCCGGCCGCCGCAGCAACCCTCCGTTGCTGATCGGTTGCTCAACACCATCCTCGAGACCGCAATTTGGTGGCGAAAAGCGAAAGCTCCGAAGTGAAGCTGCGAAAACTCACGGCAAAGTTAAGCAGCCGAGGCAAGCGGAAAGAAAGAGCATAGAGAGCTGACAGTAAGTGCGAGCAGGATAAAAATTAACAGCGTTGCCGTTCTATCGCACAAATCATATGGAAGAGAGTGCGCCAGTCCTACTCCCTTACTCACGATTTTGGACCAGATGCCACCGATACCTGTTGTGCCTACTTTCCTGCACTGATGTCCAGTCTATATGTTGTTTGGTTAGTGGTAGTATCGAGAGACGAGGCTTCGTTACGTCTCTCACGGTACCTTCCCAGCGGTGGTTTGAGCGTTTCCCCATAAGAAAATATATTTCACACATCATTCTTTTCCTTTTTAGAAATGTGTAAATTCGCTTCGAACATTTTGTGTTTTTTGCGATGATTAATCGAGATTTCTATCGATGTTGGGAAAAATGGTAAAGTATCGTAAGCATAAACAGCTGATATATCAATGAAGGCATGCGGCAACTTAAAAAGAAAAGAGTACCTAAAATGGAGCTCTTACTTCGAGAGCGAAATTTTTGAGTTTTAAAAGAAAAACTCTACGGCGTCTCTGTAAATTTAAGAATCGATCAGCTGATTTTTAAAGACGGGGTACTTTTGCCACTCACATGTTACCGACAACCGGTGGAACACCAATATATGAGATTTAAAAATGTGACGTTTCTTAAGCCAGTGGACAGAGGCTATTAGACAACAAAAATGTGTGCAAAGTCGAGCACACAAAGCGGAAAGAATATACCGGTCGGTCGAAAAAAGTACAGAGCGCGCGTGGCAGACGGACGATGTCGAAACCACGCTTGCACACGTGGGCACAAACGCGCGCTGCAGTCGTCGTTGGCGTTGAAGGACCTTTAAAGCGTCGCGACAGCGGCTATATGATGGGACGAATTCAGTTCACGCGCGGTGAAAACGGAATTCTTCAGTGCACTCGGGAAGGACAATGCCAACGGGTGTGCTTATTAAAAGAAGTGAACGATAAGAATAAGACGCCAAACACGAATATCTAGCCTTGAGTGAGTAATAAAACTCAGAATAGAGCCCGGTGAGTGCCAGAATCCAGGTGTAGGCGTGCGCTGGATCAACCAGCAACACAAAGAAGAATTGGTGGCAATTGCCGATGAGTTCAGGCTGAACAAAGCAGAGCACGTGGAGGAGTTGCGCAAGCGGCTATCCACTTTTATACAGGATTGCGGCCATACACCCGAAGTTTGGACTTGCCGAATTAGAAACTCAGTTTGTCAAAACGTTAGAGCCGCCATCCTGGGGCGTTTCACCCGACGTGGTGGACGACCGCGTCAGAAAATGGAACCAGACCTCAGGAGCTCGTATATTCCAATCCCTAGCTTAGCCGTTACAGTGGTATGGGAGGATCATGAGGTTGGAAGGAACGGAGCAGTCCAAACAACAGCGATTGGCACGGAGCTAGGACGAACCCCTAACGAAACGAATATTGGTTCTTATATTCCTCGGCCATATTCTCAGCTTGAGTCCAAGCCTC